TTTAGGGATATGTTCTAAAGCCCTTACTTGTAGATATCGATGAGTCCTCCCAGAATGGATATAGCAACTGCTTCTAAACCTTACGTCCATAGTTTTAATAGATGTCTGACACTACGTCGACATGATTCCAAAATAATTCTGCGAAAGCTCATAATATGGTTTCAGGTTAATAGCAAAAAGCAGGAAGTTTATGAAAGCAAACTCAATAATAAGATAAAGTGACGCACACCTCAGATGTCCTCACGTACCTGATCACGACGATGTTATTCAAATTCAGCAAAGTACTAGAATATGTTGCAGGGTGCATTTATCTCAGTTAAAAATTTTGACAGAAAATAGTGAATGTTGCAAGTGATCCTAGAACATATTGCAGTTCCTGACGAAGTTCAACAATGGCGTCCCAGGAGTGCGAACGCTCCAATGACTTTGAATGCATGCTGGTCGTTGGCTGACGGCACTTGTCATTATCATCGCTATTCGCAAACTAAGCAGCAAATTTCACCCAGATCACGTTTTTAAGTACTGTTTGGACAATGTGTTAATAGCTCGTTAGGGTAAGGATTAGGGTTAAGGTAAGTACTGGGATTAGGATCATAATTAGGATTACGGTTAGGATAAGGGTTGCAGTTAGGGTCAGGATTAAGGTTAGGCTTACGACTAGGGATAGATTTAGAGTTGATGTCATTTATTTTGTTTCCTTATTCACATTTTCCTGGTAAGTAGTCATCGACCGTCTTACTGCAAACTATAGTAATTCAACGGAGGGCTTTGAGGAAGACTGCACAAAAGGATAAGAGATAACCGATTCACAAAACAGCTCATCTTCAGTCACCTCGGTGAGTAAATGTACGGAAACCAGTTAAACTTAGCAACTGATACTGTTTACGATAACTGGGAATTATTTGTAAGTCATTTCAGACAAAATACCCTGTTTAATGTGTTTCATGCCTTTTTTGTGAAAAAATTCTTCATTTCATGGTTGGTCGGCTAAAGGTCAATCATGCGTGCGCACCCCTTGGAACGCTATTGTTTAACTTTGCCCAGTTTCTGCCAATTAGAGAACACGAATCTTCGCTTGTATCTACGGATTCCATTGACTTTAATCAATCAAAACGCCACACAAAAGTGCAGAAGCATGCATGAATTCGATATCAACCATTCTTCAGTTCCCGAAACACAAATAGGTACTGCACAACAACTGATCGGGAAATTTACGAACGAGTACAGGTTACTAGCAAGCTTCAAAGAAATTTGTCATAGAACAGTCGTCGAAATGCACGCGAAGCATACAAAGTGAGCTTTTAGAATTCTCTATGAGTTTATTAGTCATCTCTTCTAGTTACCTTGAACGTGATTGGTTGTTTTCGTGTGACATTTCACCCCCTAGTTTGCTTGTCTCGGTGCTGGCTGCTTCTTTGGTCTGAATGTCGTTAGTCATTCCTTCTGCTAACCTTGAACGTGATTGGCTGTTTTGTGTGACTTCTCACTTTCTAGTTCACTTGTTTTGGTGTTGACAGAAGAAGCAGCCAGCACCGAGACAAGCAAACTAGGGGGTGAAATGTCACACGAAAACAACCAATCACGTTCAAGGTTACTAGGAGAGATGACTAATAAACTCATAGAGAATTCTAAAAGCTCACTTCACATCGAAGTATGCGCTGAAGATGTTGCTCAGTAGAGCAATGAAAGCTTCGCAACCAAACCATCCAGCTCAGAGAACACGACCACACCAAAATCATCCACCTGAGCTACAAATCTTCTCTATTATATCTAAGCATACAAAATAATCATTGCATGAACCATACATTTAAGCATCTTACCGGACAAACAATACGTAAATGCTCAAGAACAATATCGAACAACAATTTTCATATAAATTCATCCAAGAGTAAAATAAACACCAAAACCCTGTCAACCGCATTTGCCTGGGCAACTAGCCCCAACTCAAGTCAACTAAACCGCCGACAAGGTGAAGGAAGTGGAGCCATATAATCTACCTACTATTTTCAGTACATGACCTGATTTTGTGATCCATTTCCTCTAGAATACGCACCAGCAATCACCAGAACTGTTAACATCCTCATAGACATGAAGAGATGCTACTGTCATTTGAAACCAAAAAATACACGCATGACAATCATGTTTACTGTGACATCTTGAGGTTCCTGATATCCTTTAGTTTTGACTGTTTAGATATTAAGACCTAGAGTTACTCGTCAAAAGTTCCACTAAAGATTAACTTATGGACCTTCCCCCCTTATTGTGCCCAGCAGACAAGAAAACGGATTGTAATGCTGCAGTCCATCCATGGTCTCGCTGACCACGAACATGGTCAGGGGTCCGATCCCCGGCCGACTCATTCCTTTACGTCGCTAAGTCACAAATAAAAGCTGGTAAAGAGGAAAGGTTGGAAATGAGGAGAGCGACCCCATCCGGTAAAAATAAACACCACTGCCACAGAAACTTCAAGCCTCTAGCTTGAAGCCCTATGTTCCACTGGAAACGTGTAGGAATACAAAAAAGTTCAACAATGATCGGAAACAGTACTTAATTTAACAATTGAGCACCTAACAACAAAGTTCTAATTAAGCTAATTAGAAAGCTGTTCAGTCTCAATAAGGTTTTTTGACTTAGTATGTGAACACTAGTGTCTCACGGACCTGATAAACTGGCTCATCACTTGTTTTCCTCTAAGCAATTTCATATACAAAATCTAGATACGTCCCGAAACCGAAATTCACATCTCGTAATTAGTAAAGCCATACAAGCCATTGTACTCAATTCGCTATTATTTCGATGACACTTATAATGTGAAATTAGTGTTGCACTATACCATCCACTAAACCCAGACATCATACCATGTGATGTGAACAAGATTCAAGAAGTCTCCTAGGGGTATTATTATCCCAATGAAAAAAGTGACAAATCCAGTATTGATGTGGAGAAATTGTACCTCAGATGGATGTACTGAGAGTTGCTGGAGTCCCTTAGCTGGAGGGTGGTATCAATGTGTGCCACTCATAATTATTGAATTCAAAATGTGAAGTAAGCATTTAGAAGTCTCCAAGAACTTGTTAAAGCACACCAAAAACCATATTTCAACACGCGGGAGGAATTTTTTCATAACGAACGGTCGCATAAATACCAACCTGATATTGAGGCAATACTATCCTTGTATGAATACAAAGTCAATGAACCCTAAAACCGTTTAAATCATCATCATCAGTATGACTTCTCAATTTCACAAAACATACACTTTGAATCACACCGTTTCATCACTCAAGCAATTATTCCAACCTCGAGCATTGCTACTTATTAAGTAGTCCGTTTAAACTGCCGACTTAAGATCAACTATGTTACACCATTTGTGAGGTGATGGTGGTTCAACAGGAGAACCCTCTCAAACCACTCCATTCAAGTGGCCGGGGATTGGATCCTCGGCCACCGCCAATGCACTCCTAAACCTCACTAAGCCAGTAGTGAAGTGGGAAGGAAGAATGAGCTAGGTGAGGCAGGTCAACAACTTCACCCCGTATTTCATCATAGACGTACTAATGGACTTAACCCTAATTCACTTCAGCGACTCAGGGATTGACTTGCTACCAGGGAATAATCTCGTCGACTTAGAATATGCGGACGATATAGTCCTTCTAGGCGAGGGCGCTGATAAAATGCAGAGTCTACTGAACACCTTGAGCAACAATCTTCGTATGTTTGGCATGTGATTCCCTCCTGTAAAATGTAAGATGATGTTGCAGGATTGGACTACACCGACTCCTAGATTACAAATAGGAAGTGAAGTGGTAGAGCACGTTGACCGCTTCACTTATTTGGGAAGTACCATCAGCCCCAACGGTTTGATCTCTGACGAAATCTCAGCACGAATACAGAGGGCTAGTTTCGTATATGCCAGTTTACGCCGTCTCTGGCGTAGATGTGATATCCGACTATCGACCAAAGGGCGTGTGTACTGCTCAACAGTCCGCTCCGTCCTCCTTTATGGCTGCGAGACCTGGCCATTGAGAGCGGAAGACATGAAAAGATTATCTGTCTTCGATCATAGGTGTCTGCGTTCTATCTCACGTGTGATATGGTGGTATAATAGGGTGAGAAATATTGAGTTTAGGCGTCGAGTGCTAGGTAAGGAGGGGAAATCAATCGACGAGACTGTGAAATTACATCGACTGAGATGGTTAAGACATGTGTTACGTATGCCTAGTCATCGCCTTCCTCGACAACAGGCAATGTTAGCTGACATAGGGTTCATCAGGCTGGAAAAGAGCTAGCGGTGGTCAAACGAAAACATGGCATAATCAGTCAATGAAATCTACAACAGTTAGTCTAAGCCACGTAGGAAGATGTACACTGGCTTCCTGGTTGGGGTCCTGGGGACGGTAAAAACCAATGGTTGGAAACAATTGGTGACATGGCTCAAAGTAATAGTTCTCAGTGGCGCAGATGCATTCATTTCTTGTGACTTATGATTTCCAATGAAACTGTTTTGTCTATAATATGCATTTCTCCTACTTTCTTCTCTTACTTTGTGTGCTACAAGAAGGGAGTGTGACGACTTGAACTTCTGCACATATGTGCAAAGTTCTATGTCGAAAACAGACAAACAGACAGACCTCACCCCGTAAGAATTAATAAAACCACTGGCACTTTAGAACTCTAGCTTCGTTCCCCATCGAGAGATGTAAAAGAATAGAAAAGAGCGGCTGTACAAACTGGGTACTGCTACTACTACTACTACTTTGTCTTCACCCAATAAATAATAAAAATGACGTAACAACAGTTGAATGCATTTGAAATTTAAGAAACAGTGAATACTACCATACAGATTGTAGCCAAAAAAAGAAAAAACAAACAAAAAACAAATGAAACTGGGCTAAATCATCATCAACATTTACGAAACATATGATCATAAATTTATGGAAAATTGATTAACATTTATAATAATAATAATAATAGTAAGGAGAAGGACGTGAAGAAGGAGTATACTGTTTCATACAACAGCATGAAGATAAAAAACACAGCAAGAGAAAAACAAAAGAGAGATGAAGTAAAGACAATCCTTTTCGTTGAAGCACTTATCATTATTATTATTAAATGATGAGAACAAAGGATTATTTTTACAATCAATGCGTATACTGCGCGTGCGTTTGCCGGTGTGTGTGAGTGTGCCGACAACTTCATCAAATGAGATTATACCACTACGATGATGACGTCGACGGCGGGTGTGGTTGTGTGTTGTTGTCATGCACACACTCGGCATTCGGTGCAGGGACAGTAGTGGTAGAACAACCAGAGTTATTTGGTAAGCCGTCATTATTATTATTATTATTATTATTATCGACAGCCGGTTTCTCCTGTTCCTGTCCCCGTTGTTTCGATTCTTCTTCTTCATCTTCCTCATCATCATTCTCATCATCGTCATCATCTTCTTCGCCATTCTTCGCTGCTGCTGCTGATTCATCATTGGCTGGCGGTTCCTCGAGTAGTTTAGCTTTAGCCACCTCTAAAGCATGATCCCGTTTTGCATCAATCACATGACTAGGCAGGGCAAATAAATTGAGAATGGTCTAAACACACAGAAAAGCGAGAAAGAAAAATTGAACACAACATTAGACAGAATTAGAAATGCTTGTGATATAACGAACTGGTAGACGCTGGGACTCATGGGCTGAGTGACTGAGTGGTCGCATTGTATATCCAGAAGGTCATGGGTTCGAACACCAGCGGGTGCGTTCAGATGAAGAGTCCCAAACTAGGACGAAGCAGGAAGTTGACTAGTACTCCCAGGTTTTCCAATGTTTCACTAAATGGTGTTAGTTCATGATCAATCCTGTAAGCACCAATCAAATTCCTGCAAACCAACACTTGTACTTATGAATTAAAATAACTATATGATTGTGACAATTTTGATGCAAAAAATGTCAATATAGAACCCATGCCGAAGAACTAAGTGAAAACGAATACATATTTTGTTACTCTAAGGATCAGTGAGGTTTTATAGTGCAACACTCTGCTGATGTTCCTTAATTGCTACACTAAACGAGTACAAATTTGACGATATTGGATAGTTGGAGGCAATCGGCCAAAGGAAGCCTTGGACCTAGGTCTCCTGCTAGTTGGCACTCACCAGTCAGCAAGGCGTATCTGTAACCTTGGAAGAATTCATGTCCCTTCTGAGACTCAAACCCACGTTACCCAGTACTGCTTGCCTGAAGGCATTTTGGTCTGATTCGTAAATCACAAAAGTGTGTGTTCAGCGACTTGTCTGCGTTTATAATTGCGAATCATTATGGCATTCTGAAAGCTGTGACAAGTTTTCCGAGAACAATATGGAGGGTAGTCACACAGTTGCTTTTTATTCTTTTTCAACATCTCCTCAATTTGAGTGTTATTATGATGAATGGGGGGGGGTGGTTATCAGGTGTTATTTGTTATTCGTATAATATTTTTGATGGGATCGCAGGAGGGATGGTTAGCAGTCTCCTATTTCACCGCATAAACTGATCATCAAATCGCTAATTTTTGGTTTTGTAAATATTGTTCTGCAAAAATCCATCCTAGAAGAGTTAAATCCCTAGAACAGTAACCCATGTACAACAGTTTCCTATATATATATATATATATATATATATATATATATATATATATATATATATTCAATAAAGAATATCCTTTTCGATAAATTCCTCTTCTGGCTCCACAGTAATACACATATATAAATATTTATATACACAGAATATTCTAGATTGATGGTCAATAATGGTAACTCAGTGGTAACGTCTCTGAGTACAGCACTGGGTGACGTGGGTTCGAATCTCAGAAGGGACATGAGTTCCTTCAAGGTTGCAGATACACCTTGCTGACTGGTGAGTGCCAACTAGCACGAAACCTAGGTGCAAGGCTTCCTGTCGATTGTCTCCAACTATCTAATATCATCAAACCAATACGCACCGTGATGGCGAGCTACCTAGAATGGTGGCCACATTGCAAACCTGACTGATGGTATTCAGTCTGTACCAAAGAAAGGACTAGACACATCACACTAGTTACTAGTGTCCAGTCAAAAATGAGTACAAATTTTTTTAAATGATTAATTTACACCAGTTGAGTCTATGAAATCTAAACTAGTTGTTCAATTTGTTTTTGAATACAACTAATCTTTGTGAAGGTATCTACATAAATTCATAAAATCTTTCAAAAAAAAGTATATATTGACCACTAAAGTACCCATTTTTATACAGCAGTAGATAAAAAACTAACAGAGCTTGTCCTACCTAAGTGAGTTTGTAGGTTTGAATGCCCCAACCTAATTCCTGCTTTATGAAGAATCCTACGTAAGGTTTCAAATGTCCCTTCCTTATACGGTAAAACTACTTATTTTTAATTCCTTCACGTTCTCAGTGGAACAATACAGCTTCAGACTTGAAGTTTCCGTAGCACTATTTTTATAGAATGGGGTCACTAGCCTCATGCCCAACTTTTCCTCCTTACCAGCTTTTATTTCTTGCTTAGCGGGGAAAAGCAGTGCGTCTGTGGCCGGGGATTGAACCACGGACCATGTGCATGGTTGGCAAGCGTCCTAACTGCTGTGCAACCAACGTACAAAAATGCACCTTCTAATGAACTTATCTGGATAATTACTGTCAACCAGTTTGTGTCAGTTTCCTTTCTTCATCATCAAGTGTGACTTCGGTGCATATTCGTTGGATTCTGCTGAAGAAGCATCTCACACTACAGCAATTTTGTGCCAAACAAAGCAGAAAACTGTGATAATTAAGATACTTGAAAGCAATTAGTTCCCTCTATGAATTTCAACATACATCCCATACAATAGGATGGGATAAGATGACAGTTCTGAAATCTAATGTAACAGAGTTGAGAGAGAGATTGAATAACGCATGCATTGTGTTATCGAATCAACTGCAAACACGTCTAACAGGAATGACTCAACACCTGTCCACCCTGATATCTGGAAAATTCTAATACCCCAACGACGACAAATAGGAGAGAACAAAGAAAACCATAAAACTCAAGTTTCGAAGTTGTGTGATTATAACTGATGGCATGATTATGAACAATAATTTGTGTTCGAAACGCCATCCAGTAAATAATACTATTTCATTGTGTGATAATATCTAATAACGTCTTATTATTGTTTTGTCAAAATTAAGATACTGTAGTGTCCAGGAAAGTTATCTATAAAAAGATCGATTAATTGATCCATCAGATAGTCGATTTTCATTCCTGTACGTTCCCAATACGGCCTCAAGCTAGAGGCATGAAGTTTCGGTAACAGTGGTGTTAATTTTTTAAGGGATGCGGTTGCTAGCCAGCCTCATGTCCAACTTTGCCCTCTTAACCAGTCTTGTTACTGACTTAGCGAGGTAAAGGAGCGCGTCGGTTAGGGATCGTACTCCGAACCACCTGCGTGGTTGGCGAACATCCTACCAGTGTGCCACTGACACCGGTCATCGACTAGGCAATATATATACATATATTTCAGTTCCATACAGGTAAACAGGTAAGTACGAGAACATGTTTCGAAGATATGACGGGTAAATATATTTGTACACGTCAACACCACTGACTGTCAAATGTACACATTCGAACGAAATTCCACTGATATGTGAGTAGGTATTGCAAAACAAAACAAGAAAATAAACAAACAACACTTACATAACAATCACGATAATCAATACGATGACGATCAGCACGAGAACGGACTGTCTTCTCTAAACTTTTTTTCCATGAACGAATTCTTGGATGAATATCATAGTATTTAATTGGAAAGTGTTTTCGCATATCATCATAACATGTGATACGGAAACCACAAATGCATAAATGTAATCCTTTTTCTCCAATTATTCTTGCTAATTCCTGATTTTTTCAAAAAAAAGACAAAGATAAATAATAGAAAAAGACGTTCAACAATATTTCACAATAAATACACAACATAAAACCACCATAATGTATATATATAGTGAGGGATATAATCAAGTGTGCGTTTGCAGGGATTTGATTGGTTACAGGTCTGTTTGACCACAAGATGATATCAGGTAGAGGACCAATGGAAAACCATCAGGAAGTACTGAGACAACTATTTCGTCCTATTTTAGGACTCTTCAACCGTACACACTCCACCGAGGTTCGAAGCCGGGACTGTTTAGTCACTGGGACACGAACAAATAACCAGTCCATGAATTCTAACTTCTGTCAATTCGCGATGAAATGCTGTGACAAGGAGCAGAGGTTGACGATGTGTTTAATCATAGCGCTTTCGATTAAACCACTGGCCGTCTTTTTGTAGTCATGTTGGATAGTGCTACCGAACACCTTTTGAAAGGACGCGCATAAAACGACCAATGTGCCTGGGTTCCACACTTGGTGGAATACTAGTCTAGGACAGTTTATTGTCAAAGATTCTAAGCAATAAACATTCGTCACAATCTTCTAACTGAATATTTAATTAAGCATGTACAAAACAAAGCAATGATTTACATTAATTATTCTACACAATAATCTTCAATTTTCACTATAACAACTAGTTAGTATTTTTTTAGTAGCATGTCAAAAAATAAAATAAGCTAAAGCAACACCCCCCCCCCCACTGAAAAATGGAAAACAATGACAGAGCATTGTGATGGATCTCAAGGATTTGAATGATTTCAAGTTTAAATGACGAACTGACTTCAATTACAGAATCACTGAAGAAAGTCGTGGATTATATCTGACAGCAGTACCTTGTCCTAGACTGACTGGATCTTCTCAGCAGTATGTATATCCATGACTCCAGGACCTTTAGTGTACGGAGCAATCCATTTGCCTATTCTCAGCTACTAGAATGAAATCTAATGGCCCATTAAACTAGAACAAAACAGTTATCCACAATATTCAATGGTGTGCTCTAACTGATTTTAGTTAGCGTTCTAACTTCACATTACTAGAATTCCTACTAAATTACTAGTGTGGTGAGTGCTACTTATAATCAAACGATTCCTGTAACATCCCGTCGGTGTCTTGTGGTCAGTGGACATTATGCGTTCTTTCCCTTAAACATTCAATGGAAATCAATGCATTTTGGTGATGACAGAACACGTCATGCAGTGGGTAAATGCCGGGGTGATTCTAGTTCAGCGCATCAAGACCATAACCGAGGCATTAATTCGACATATTGTGGCGGATCATGGTGTACCAAAGATGTTATTGACAGATCAAGGCTCCTGTTTTGAAGGTGAGGAGTTCAAGACTCGTCTGGAGGCACTGGGTATTAAAAGAATTAGAGCGACGCCTTATGATCCTCAGACAGGCGGCCTAACAGGAAGCAATAACCGTGCAATCAAGGAGTAGCTAGCTGCGAAGAGAGACAACTGGTAAACTGACCTACCGTTAGTATTACTGGCACATCATACCACAATAAAGAGGAAAACAAAAAAAATCACCCTCCAAGCTGATGTATGAGAGGAAACTACACTTTCCGGTGCACCATAAGACTTGGCCACAACAACAGCACTGAACACAGTAAGAGATGGACAAGTGAGCGAAAACAAGCCTATTCAGAATATACAAGTGAAACGGAAGGCAGACATCAAGAAAGCTGGCAAGAAACAAATCAAAGGTTGTAAGCCGTTTGAAGTAGGCGACAAGATGAAATGTAGAGAACGAAAGTATCCCACCACAGGTGGACCAGTATCAGGAAAGCTTCTGCTAAAGTGGGAAGGGTTAATATGTGGTCACATCGAGACGTCGTCTAGTGTACACAAATAAAGAGAAGAGATAAAGAAGAAAGAGTGAACGCCAGTCTTCTCCAAAGATGCATACAACAATGTCACTGGGGACGTAAAGCTATAAAAAAGAAGTGTAGTCAGTCGACTAGAGAACATACATATACAATTACAAAAAGAACACAAACCTTGCTAGCTCTAGATTGACAAGTTTTCCATACAGCGAATACAGGATCTGATATTGATAATTTCATTTCTTCTTCAAATGTAAACTCTTCTAATTCAAATTTCTCCTTATAGTTCTTTTGATGAGTAAGACTGCGTAAATGATTTTCAATTTCATCAGCTCCAATGTAATCACCTTTGCACAGGTTACAGGTATACTCCATATCACGGGTATTATAAACTTGCTAAAATTGTTATTAATAATAATAATAATAATGATTAATACTGATGATAAGGGAAACAAAAGAAATAGCGTGGAATGACTTTATGCAATATACTAATTAAGCTGCTAGTCGACATAATAATAAAAAGGATAACTAATTGGATAAGGCATCTGAACTTCGAATGCGGAGATTATTAGTGATAAACATCAATCGTAATATGTAGGGGTTGGAAACTTGGTGTTCGCGTCGTCACGAAAAGCATTTCCAACAGTCTATACAACAGTTGTCCACTTTGCTGGCTCCATACTGAAGATTATACGGTCAGCCGACCAGAAAGAATTAGCAACGAGAAACTCTGGGAGGTAAAGAACCAACCAAGAACCTATTGCTCAACAAAAAATCAGAAGAAAATGGAGACGGATAAGACACACACCACTGAGGAGAGTGTCGAGGGCTATCGCTCGAGTGGAGCCAGAATGAGAAAGAAAGAGTTGGGCGTCACGCGTTGAGGGTGACATTGATGACATCATGTGATGAGGAGATGAGAGACTATGGGGTAATCGTGGAGCCAGTTGAAGAGGACTGCAGAGAATAGGGCAAGGTGAAGATGTACTCTTAGAGCCTTATATTTTTCACTGGGAACATAAAGGAACAATAATATAAGGATGATAATAATAATGCGTAATATAACCAGTCGTCATTCACATTTAGAAGGAGGAGGCAGTTCAATAAATACAAAAACACTCTCAACATTAGAAACAGAGTCTGCCACCACTTTGTATTACTTTCAGCATTAAATTAAACACACAAAAAAAAACTGCAGCACTACCACGGAAGTAACACTTCCCTATTTCTTTTGACCATTGACAGATATAGGATCCAATGGCTGGATTCAACACTTCGGATTGTGAGGGCGATTGTTACTTCCCGGCTGCCCACACCGTGGAAGTTGGTTGCGTGACCACAGAGCCCAGGGGACAACTGCTTGAGGCCGGTCACACGCGGCCTGTTTTCGTTTGTTCTTTTTCATTTGATGTGTGTGCCGTGTGACACGGCAGCAGGAAGCGCGGTCGTTGTTAATCCGGGCCCCGACCGACCCAGCATGATATTTTGTGATTTACTTTGAGTCATAGCATTGGGTTGGGTAACTGCTTTTTGTCTAATCGCTATCCAAACAACCTTTCTAGCATGGTAGGACCTCAAGCGACATAAGTCTCAGCCAGTATAGCTTGTTGAGTCATTGAGGTGTTCAAGCCCGACCACCACGTCAAGGACTGTATAAAATACGTCCCATAAGGCTCATTGTAAAACCATTTTTTTTAAATCATGGCGCCTAGTGACTCAAGATGAAATCACATATGACAAGAAGATAGTCAGTTAATTGAAACACGATTCAATGTACGTGAAAGACAACCTATACAACCTCATATCATCCTAAAGTGCAATATGAATACTAGTGTGACATGTGCTACTGACAAGATTTGTCAGTAGTAGATAAACAAAGAGACGTTCATCAGCAAAAAATATTAAGTAATGTGAAAGAGAGGGAGATTTACGTCGAAGTGTAGCAATGAACAACCAGTATTGCGGCGAAACATGGGAGACACGAAAAGAAGACAAAGAAACATAATATGAAGGAAGGGTAGAAGTAGCACAACACGGAAGATCTGTTCACCGATATGTCAAGGTCAAATTGCAAATAAGCATTCCGTCACCAACTACTCACTCTTGTGTTCCACCGTTGCACTAGGAATATCAAAAGCGAACATTCATGCGCACAAACCGAAAAAGGCAAAGTGAAGTTGTACAGATTGAGGCTTTCTGAACACATCCTTTACTAACTCGTAGGTGGGGGGGGGGAAGGGTTGCGAAGTGTTAACGCCATAAATTACCCACCACAATGACTTATATAGATACTGTGGTAGCAATCTCACCACTATTAGAAATCTTTTGTTAACACCATCATCAGACTACATAAATTTTCCAATCGCTTTTAGCAGTTGATGTTCGGAAGTGGGTTCCAGCAGACACCCACACACACACCACTCAGAATCAGAGTAATACATAGAGCATATTCTTATCGACATTGATCTGCAGCTCTTTTCGTGAGAAAATACTTGAGCGCAATCATTGCGCCAATTGTGATAGATAGAATGACCACCAGAATTGACAAGATGTTCGGTTATTACACTTCTTATAAAGCCACTACTAGTACCTCTGGGTAATCATGTGGTGAGATAGTGTGTTCTACAACCGTTTTGGACAGGATACGCGCCGAAAGAACAATGTATTCAGTGGTCACGTGCAAGATCACATCTTTCGGGGTTCTACAGTCTGGCGGACAACTGGATTGGACAACACTACTCTCTCACGGTTGCTGCGAAGAATATACTTCTTAAAGAAGCCAAAATTCTCCTCTTAGAGACAACATTACACAGTAGGTCCCCTTCGAATTCGACGTTCATGTAAAGTCCCTTTCTTTTCGGCTTCATATTCTTGTCAATAAATCTTGGTGGACATTTGTTTCGCAAAAGAATTCCTGTCAAAAAGTATAATTTTCCTTCCAGATAATCAGGACTGTAGATGCATTGGATTCGAGTAGCAGGAGATACATGTAACTAAGTTTCGTTTACGACTAAATGGTACCCAACTGTAAAAACTTGTCAGTTGGCTATTCCATGTAAGTTTCCTGTGGATTCATGGCAAAAAAGAAGCTTTATATAACCTACTCAATGGTATTGCCTCTAAGAGAAGAATTTTGGCTTCTTTAAGAACTAGTCGCCCACTGATCTGCAAAAGCTCAAAAGACAAGATCTTATCTCTGACCACTTCTATATGTGCATATTTCAGTTCACCTGTGTCCTGTAGAACAACCACTAGACCAATTAGTTGTTCGACACGTATCCTGTTTAAAAGAGTTGAAGAATACACTATCACACCGCATGGTTACAGAAAGGTAGTAGTGACTCTACATAAAAAGTCCAATAATCAGACATCTTGTCACACACTACTGGGCATTCTCTATCTGGAATAACTGGAACAAAAGCTAATAATAACAATAATAATACCGTGTACCTCAGACAAACAAAAGATGCCATTTTTTTTCGATATAGTGAAAAAAAGGCAAACTAGTAATGAAAAATATGGCAGAAAAAGACCCGCTTATCCTTGGAGGAGGTAAATAAAAAAATGAACGACTTACCTGATGATCCCCAGTAGTGTTGTTTATATCACATTTTTATGTATATATATGATAGAGATTAGAGGGCTTTTATTTTACACGCTGTCACTTTCATGCATATGAAAACTGTATATTATACCCACATTCATTAAAGGTGTTCAACAACAATAGCAGTGGTAATAATAATAATATTACTTGAGGAGAGTACACATATATAATATACACACGATGAGCTAAATTCTTTGCTGTCAAATCTACAGATTTTCTTACATTTTATTACACATAACAGTAACACTTTATTCCTGTTGCACACACAACAATCCAAGATAGTAGTAGTAGCAGTAGTGGTGAACGGATGACGAAACCAACAACAGTTTCTAATAATATAAATAAGAAAAGTTGGTAAGAGACAATAGGTGGAGGCTCACTTCGAAATAAACACTATAAAGGCTGTAGTAACGCACACACACACACACACAGTGTCATTTATAGTTGATGCAATGAGCATAAATGACAAACTACCACCTACAACTACTTAACTACCAGACGATGTCGGCGGCGATTTGAGGTGTGTCAAAAACTCTCCCTCCCTCTGTGTTGATGATCATCTCAAGTAACCCAGGCTTTAGTATTCAGTGAGGCTGTTTTTTTTTGGTACACAGACACGAGAGTAGTGGTTTGCATCACACATATCAAAGTTTTCGGTGAATGTTTATAGTTTTTTTTTTGTCTATTTTTTCACATTCAACACCCACCTACCTCCTGAATAAACTCCTCGCCGACTGGATTTGATTCTTGAGAGATTAAATGTTTCAAGTCGAGAAATTTTTGTAAGAATGCATTACCAGCATCCAATTCGACTTCCTTACTATCTCCATAGTTCCCATATGGAACAGAGCAGTCTGGAAGAAATTGAAAATTGAATGAAAAAGTTTAGTGTGAAAACAACCATCAATAAAGATGGTGGTGGTGGTGGTAATGGTGAAAGTAAACGAATAAGGGGGGGGGGATCAACCCAGTTAATCAACCTACCAACCAATCCCCCCGCCGTAGGGGCTGACTGGCACAAAGTTCACTCAATGGCAAAAAGTTTCAACAAAAACAGTTTTCATCACTGCGAGAGTAATAGTTCCCTTACTATATACCAGAATGAAGTAAAATTTCAGGATTTCATTATGAACTGACATCGGTTCAAGAACCGGTAGAAAACCTGCAGGGAGTACTGGATAGCTTTTACGTCCTAGTCTTTTGGGATTCATCATTGGCAGAACGCACCCACTGAGGTTCAAACCCGGGACCTTCGCGTTACAAGACCGGCGACCTCGTAGACCAGTAATTCAGCTACTGGTACTCTATCCAATGGCCAACTCATGAATTCCAACTTCTGCCAATTCACGACACACCACAACCAATAGCCAATGTTATCTGTGGTAAGTATTCGTCCCCACACCCGACATGATGTACGCCACTGGTTGCCCCTTCGGACTAGAGCCCAGGTAAACTACCTACCTGAATAGGGCCAGTCACTAATGAGCACCAGATCGATATTCAAGTGTTGGTTTGCAGGGATTTGATTGGTTTCAGGATATCATCAGGTTTAGATCATTTTAACCATATTAAAAGTTGGTTAGATCAGTGGGACAAGAAACTATTCTCATTGGCTGAGACGATTCACTACTCCAGGTTAAACGAAAGGGCGAAAAGTTGTTCGGTGAGATTATGTATTTCCAGACCACAACACAACGTAAAGTGAATCCAGATATTTAAGGAATAAGCACTGAATCAAAACCACTGTCCGTTTCCCTATCAAGCTGCATCTATATAGCATACGCCACACACTGTGGCATGGATAGGATAAGGTTTTGAGCTGCAGAATTAGTCTACTAAACGTGAGTTAACTTTTACGAATGAATTCTTTAGACGACGGGATGCGTCGGTGGTACAGCGGTTACGACGCTCGCCGACCATGCATATGTTCTGAGGTTCGATCCCCGCCGGCCGACGCATACCTGATATTAATGGTCGGCCTACTAAATTTGAGCTACCGATATCACATGCTGAAAATTCCATACTAGTACTGTGTGGAAACAAGCTATAATAAAAGGAAACAAAAAACAATGCATAGAATTTTACCACATCCTAAATAAAATCAAGAAATTGAGCCTCAGGTAGTAGCGGTTTGAGTATGGGGACATCCTACGAAACGCCATACTACTAACTGTTGAGAATCATAGGCTCGTAAGTAGTATCTGTTGTTTTCATGATACAATTCAATAGACAAAAGCGCATTATTATCATTTTATTCTTTTACATTCCCAGTGGTGAACATACGAGGTTAAAGTTTCGGTAGCAGTGGCTTTATTTATTTTTATGCGATTGGTTTGCTAGCCTCGCGGCCAACCTCCCCTTTTTACTCCGGGGCTTACTATCGGCTTAGCGAGTGGGGTTTAGGAGTACATCGACCGAGGATAGAACCCCGGACCACATGTGTGGTTGGAGAGTGTTCTACTTCTGAACGACGGAGGCAAAATCCGTACTCTAAGGGAGAGAGGCGTAAGTAAACGTCATTTCATAGCACTATTCACAAACACAACTAAGTAATAATAATTAATGAAACTAAATATGCAGCTACGAGTTGAAGCAGGAAATTCCACTTAACAATTGGACAATAAGCATAACACACATACACACACCTGAAGGAACTAACTCTAATGAGATAAATAATATGGTTGTAGAAAATAATACTTTCGTAAACAAAAATGAAAACATAAATATTCCCATAATGATAACTATACTACTACTCACTACTACTCACCTGTGTTCATATACAGTGTGAATGAACCCAATGGATCACCGGCAACTTCTTCTGGTTTCTTTTTTAATTGTCCTTTCAATAAACGAGCTACACGACAAAGACGTTTATGCTTTTTCCATCTTAAATGAGCATAAAAATGACGACCATTTTGGAATGTTTGTTCACACACTTCACAGTAGTCAGTACGTCTAGGAGTTTTCCTCTATTTTGAATAAAAACAAATAAATAAATGAAACACAAAAACATACTACTGAATAGTCTAAGGTTGATAGTTCGAGAACAATAGCAATGTGGAAGGCTACACCCACTTGAGATTATTTCGTAAAATGGAGAGAAATGATGACGATAATCCCATCTGATAAACACTAATAATTTAGGCCTACACATACATTCCTAATTCTTAACAAATAAGCAGGCTAACTGACTCACTTGACTGGTTTCAAAACATAGAACAATGGCACAGGAGTGCACCAGTTCGAGTTGCCACACTGCATGTACCACACACAAAGGGAGACAAAAGAGAGAGGAAAGAGAAGAAATTTGAAAGAACGATAACAAGCAGAAATATATAAGGGAGAAGGAATAGTGACAGGATAAAAAACAATAGGGTTTTTTCCTGATGATGAGAGAGCATAGAGTGAGAATACATCTGAGCCAGTCATTGAGAACGATTTCGAGCCATATCAACAATTTTTTGGCCATTGGTTCTAAAAATCCCGAGGAACCCAAACATACTGTGACTCTACCTACAGCTCTCCGTGTGACTGGCTGATACTAGATATTAAAAACCTCATGGATGGATTCCATGCTTTCATTCGACCACCATTAGCTCTTTTCCAACCTGATCTTATATCAGTGGACGTTTCCCATTGGGTTAGGCGATGGTCAGGCATATGTAACACATGCTTTTTACCATCTCTCAATGGGTGCAGCTTCACAACCTTCATCACAGATTTTCCCTCCTTACCTAACACCTCAATATTAACCTATTATACCACCTACCTAACATGGGAGATAGAAGGCAGATACCCCATGATCAAAGGCAGCCAGCCTTTTCTGTCTGCCTGTCTGTTTTCGACATAGAACTTTGCACCGATGTGCGGAAGTTCAAGTCACCACACTCCCTCCTTGTAGCACACAAAGCAAGAGAAGAAAGTAGGAGAAATGCATAATATACAGTAAACAGGGATATGAGACAAAGGAATAGTAATAACGAAGAACAACATAGTTTCATTGGAAATCATAAGTCACAAGGAGTGGATGCATCTGCGCCAGCCATTGAGAACGATTTTGAGCCATGTCACCAATTGTTTCCAACCATTGGTTTTTACCGTCCTGAGGACCCCAACCAGTCGGCAGGTCTACACCTTCCTACGTGACTTAGACTAACTGTTGTGGATTTCATTGACTGGTGCCAATTTTTCGTTTGACCGCCGCTAGCTCTTTTCCAACCTGGCCCTATATCAGCTAACATTGCCCATTGTCGAGGAAGGCGATGACTAGGCATACGTAACACATGTCCCAACCATCTCAGTCGATGTAATTTCACAGTCTCATCGATTGATTTCCCCGCCTTACCTAGCACTCGACACCTAACCACAGTATTGCTCACTTCATTATACCACTTCACGCGGGAGATAGAACGCAGACACCTATGATCGAAGACAGCTAGTCCTTTCATGTCTTTCACTCTCAATGGCCAGGTCTCACAGCCATAAAAGGAGGACGGAGCGAGCTGCTGCTGCTGAACAGTATACACATCACTTCATCGATAGGCAATTGGGTATCACGTCTACACTACAGACATGATGCAGAACATCAAATGCCACGTGAACTTTCCCATATCCGTGCTAAGGTTTCTTCAGGGCTGGCTGGCTGGACTCAACATAGAACTTGCCACCGAAGTGCAGCAGTTCCACTTGCCACGTTCCAAAGAGCATACAAAGGTAGACAAGAAAATGAGTGAAGAGAATCAATAGTTTTGACAAGTATAAGAGTGAAACAGAATGAGTAGCCGTAGAAAGGAATATGAAAGATTACAGAGACTGAATACATCTGCGTAAGCCATTGACAACGATGAGTTTGAGCCATGTCACCTATTGTCTCCAGCCATTGATTGATTCTTAGAGTCCCGAGGGCCTTAACCAACCCGGAAGTCTGCATCTCCCTCCCTACCTGATTCAGTTTAACTGTCAAGGATTTCATGGATTGATGAGGCCATGTTTTTGTTTGGCCACCACTTACTCTTTTCCAGCTTGCACCTATATCAGCTAGCAATGCCTGTCGGGGGAGGCGATCGTTAGGCATGCGCAGCACGTGACCTAGCCATCTCAATGTATGTAACTTTATAGCCTCTTCGATTGATTTTCCCTCTTTGCCCAACACTCTACGCCTAACGTCAACATTACTTACCTTATTATACCACCTAACGTGAGAAAGATATCGTAGACATCTATGATGGGAAACAGTCAACCTTTTTATATCTTCCGCTCTCAATGGTCACGTCTCACCACCATAGAGAAGGACGGAGCGAACTGCTGAGCAGTACACACGTCCCTTGGTTGATAGCCGGATGTCACGCCAATGCCAGAGACGGTGTAAGTTAGCGAAAGCAGCCCGAGCTTTTTGAATCCGTCCTGAGATTTCGTCACCAATCAATCCGTTGGTGCTGATACAACTTCCCAAATAGGTGAAGTGGTCAACATGTTCTATCACTTCACTCCCTATCACTACTAAGCTAGGAGTTGACGTAGTCCAGTCCTGTAGCAGCATCTTACATTTTACAGAGGCGAATCGCATGCCAAACATACGAAGATTGCTGCTGCAGAAATAACACGGTTTTGAGACAATAATAACGTACATTGCGATAATGAAGATCAATTTTAAATCAACAGGGGTTAACCTGTCTATATTACTCATTCAAAAAGCGGCTCTTGTATGGACCAGTGGATATAACGCTTTGGTATTTTTTTTTCAAAACGTTGGGTATTGTGTGTTCGAGTTTCACTGGGAACAATCAGCTGGTAAGTCCCAAATACAACGAAATGCATACCCTGGTATTCCACAGCAAGCCACCACGACAAATAAATCAATAAACAACAACAACACAATATTACTTATCCGTAATAAAAATCGTCCTACACTTACCTCTTCTCCATCATCAGAATCAGTTTTATTGCGATCAGATGATTTCTTCATATGTCCTTCTGCAGTTATATGCTCAAGATAATGTTCTTTCCTCTGAAAGGTGCGTTTACAATCATCACAATGGAAATTCGGTCTTCTATTTCTATTCTAAAATTTGAAGAAAAAACAAATTTTGGAATAAGATGGATAAAATTGGAGAATTCAATATCATTCAAGAAGGTAGTAAGCAGTAAATTGAGGAAAATTATCCTCACAGTAAGGCTCATAAGTGAACCCTCAAAAAAAAAAGAATTCGATCGAAAAAAAGCATCGGCGACCATACCACGTTGAAAGAACCGGTTCTCGTCCGATTACCGAAGTTAAGCAACTTTGGGCCCGGTTAGTACTTCCATGGGTGACCGGCTGAGAATACCGGGTGTTGCCGGCTTTTTTGTGCGTCAGTGGCATATCGGTTAGGACGCTCGCCGACCATGTACGTGGTCCGGGGTTCGATCCCCGGCCGACGAGGCACTCCTTTACCTCGCTAAGCCAGAAATAATGCTGGTGAAGAGGAAAGGTTGGGCATGAGACTAGCAACCTCATCCAGTAAAACAAACACTTCTACAGAAGCTGCAAGCCACTAGCTTGAAGCCCTATGTTCCCCTGGGGAATGTGAAGGGAAAAAAGGAACAAAAGCATTCTCTATTGACAAGATTCGGAGATAAGGGGGAGGGGCAGGAGTCGTCGTATTATCAGATTAGAGCTGATTATGGTGAGTCGATGGTTCAGCGGTAGGTAGAATGCTCGCCAATCATGCCTCATGCCATGTCTACTACAGTCTGACGTTCGAGAATTGTGGGGAGACAACAATACATGACTGGTGGATACCAAGGCTTTCAGTACCTATCTAACACAATTCCTCTATATCTACTTTATCTAAATCACCCCCTTACCATTAAGGTAGTTTTGGGGATTTTGTCGTACCCCGTAGAAAATATTGTTCATCTTGGCGATACATAGCCGCTAGCTCTTACTTATTTTACTTTTGTTCCTTTACGTTCCCAGTGGAACATAGGGCACCTTCAAGCTAGAGGCTTGAAGTTTCGTTAGCAGTGGTGTTTACTTTTACGGTGCTCAGGTATGGGTTGCTAGCCTCATGCCCAACCTTCCCTTCTTATCAGTCTTATTACTGGCTTAGCGAGGTAAAGGAGTGCCTCGTCGGCGGCCAGGGATCGAACCGCGGACGACATGAGGCGTGGTCGGCGAGCATTCTACTGCTGTGCCACCGACGCACACTTTTATGATATGTTGTGGTGTTATAAATTTAATCTGCTTTTTTTAGATTTTGATTTTTGATTTTCATTCCCTCCCAACTGAACACACAATACTAAACTAGGACTTTCACACTTAACTTAATTTTGCTGTTTGACTTAATGATTCTTACTTTTACTCACCGCACCTCTATTCGCATAAAGGAAAAGGCATTCAGAGAAGAGAGTTACTACTCCTCTCCTCGGTGATGTCATTCTCTCAAAGCTGTAGAATCGCATATACACATATATCTAATAAATTGTCTTAGCAATAAAAGGAATAATTCCTCAAAGAGGTGTCATCACCATTATCATCAGAATTGTAAACTTTTTTCAGATAACAAAATACGTAAGAAATAAAATAGCGTGAATCTGGTAGAAACTAGAATAAAATTTAAAAAGTAGACTGTGTGAATGACGTACGTAATTATAATTTGACAGGATAAAATAGAATTCAACTAAAATTGAATGAGAGTGAAAAAAGTTAACAAAAAGGCGGTAAATAAAGGCGGCAGGGGGGGAAATTGAATGCGACACGAATCAAACTTTTCTTCAAACCCCAAAAACACTGTGGCAATCCCAAAACTCTGCATACACAGGTGGAAGTTTGCTTAGTCATTATTAAATCTACAATCGACCTGCTCTGACATACCACTGGATACGTGATTTTTGTTTCTTAATTGCATTATTTTCTTCCCTAATTCCGACTCTATTGAATTCTTTAAATCATAGAAAATTCCCATTGTAACATATACAAAATCAAAACAAATGATTCAGTGAAGAGACTCTTTTCAACGAATTTATCATCAAGCTGTACGATCGTATATATATGGGTGTTTTTTAAGAAGTTATATCCGGTGAGGGAATTGAAACATAGGTGTGAATGCATAAAGTAAAGTAATAATAATAATAATAATAATAATAATAATAATAATATGAAATGCAATTAGCTTCCGATATCATGAAACGAAGGATACCACAGTCCCTGAAAAGAATATTCCCTGCTGCATCCCTGAGAATAACCTTTACTAGTCGACCATTATTGTTCAATAACCTGAAGGACAAGATCCCGCTGTTGACCAACTCTATGTGCGTTTATCAATTCACCTGCTCTTGTGGAGCTAGGTATATCGGTCGTTCGACAGGAGTTTTGTCCAAGAGGGTGCAAGAACACTATCCTGCATGGTTACGAAAAGGCGGAAGTGGAGCAATAAGAAGCGCGATCATTGAACATCTGGTCGATAATGATCACCCTATCTCTATAGCCTCCGCCTTCAAAGTCATCTACACGGCAAAGAGTAATTTACCCAAATCCCTACGTACCCGACTCATCTGTATTGCTGAAGCCATCTTTGGCTATCGAAACAGAAAAGCCAGCTCTCTGTGTACAGAAAAAGTTTGTTCAACCCCTGCAACTTTCATGGTCTTAATCCCTCTATGCTAAAGTATAGTAATCCCCAATCATATTTTAGCTCTACCAATTTTCATTTTTTCATTTTTGTCTATTCAATTTGTATACTCTTCCTTATTAAGTCAACTGTTACTATTACTACTCTCACTTTTAATTGTCCCCGGTATTATTTCACTTGTTCCACTTGTCATTCGAAGTCAATTCCTTTATGCAACATTAAATTCTATGCTATTAAATTTCACACAATAAATATTACGTAACTTTTTATTTTATTCGATTTATCTACTAATCTTATAATTGCACACCTTTTTTCAAGTCCTATACATCCTATGAATTATTATATATATATGACATTAGTTCTTTTGCCACTTGACATTTAACTACGATTATAATCACAAACATTTTAGTTTTAATTGCATTTCATATTATTATTATTATTATTACTTTACTTTATGCATTCACACCTATGTTTCAATTCCCTCACTGGATATAACTTCTTAAAAAAACCATATATATACGATTGTACAGCTTGATGATAAATTCGTTGAAAAGAGTCTCTTCGCTGAATCACTTGTCTTGATTTTCTATTGAATTCCTAACTCCTTATTACCACTGTTTGTTAAATTGACTCTTGTTCAATTTTAGTTGAATTCTACTCGACCCAGGGCCATTAATTTACTTATTAACTTGCAATTTAGTGCCTACCCGATTGACGCTTTCTATATTACATAATTTGTTAAAACAGAAAAGAGTTTACAATTATAATGACACATGTTTGAGGAATATTCCCTTTTATTGCTAAGACAATTGACCATATAAATATATATGTATATATATGCGATTGTACAGCATGAGAATGATATCGCCGAAGAGAGAGGAGCAGTAACTCTTCGCTGAATGCCTTTTCTTTTATGTGACTCAATGAGGATTTTCAAGCTGGTTGGACATGTATTCCAAATCTGTCCAATTCCTCTTTAATTCAAGCTTTCTGTCATTGATTATTAATAAACTCTAGTTTGTCCGATATTCCACTAACTACCATAACTCCTGTTTTGTTATATAGTTTTCGTCTTTCATAAAGTTCCACGTGGAAAATGTGTTGTAGGATTCTGGTAGTACTGTCCTTGTGTTTTTGCAGGGTGAGATTGCTAGCTTTATGTCTCACAACCTTTCCTCTATGTCAGCCTTAATACTAGCTATACACGATCTAAGAGTGTATCTGTCGACGATAGAACACCCAGAGAATAACTTTTGCGGTTAAATAGAACAAAATAAAACGCAGAATCCAGAGACAACTGCTTAACGCCGGTTACACAAAGCATATTTATGAAGTGGGTTTCAGAGTTATATTCACTCCTTGGCATCACTTCATCAAGTCATCGGCAGTTGGTTTCATCCATATGCAGAAGTGTCAGTCTGGCTGAGGTCCTCAAGATACTAAGAACCAGTAGCTGTGGAGACACTCAGTGGTTCAGACGCTTTCCCTCTTTTTAATCTCCCAAATGCATTAGATCCTCATGTTACTATTCTTCCTCAGGCACATTTCTCCTCCCCATCCCTCCTTATAGTTTTTTTGAAACTCTTCTCTTTCTCTTTTTGTCTACTTCTGTGTGCTATATGGAGGTATGTGGCAACTCCAACTGCTACTATACTTCTAGGCAAAGTTCCATGTTGAAAGTCCGTCAGTCAGACAGCCTGTCTGTCTGTCTATCGGGACTCGGACTGCCTACTTGGATGTGGGGTTGGTGAGCATCTCGTTCATATTGCTTCTAGCTGAAATAACTTTGAACTATGTTACAGTTCTACGTCATTTTTAAGTTGTTATAGCAGAGCAGGTGAGGTACAAAGTCCTCAAAATAAAATAATATCATAATATATTTCACAGGTTCTCCCCTCATCAGCTAGGTGCACACCACTATCTGAAAAATTACAATGATTATAAACACAATGACACGAAATAAGCATCCTTCAATGTTTGAATAGTAGTAAAAAAATACCTATTAAATCAACGCATCCGAAGTATAAGCATTGGCATTTTTAGTTTAAATTACCATCAATTTATATCCATTTTTAAATATAAAAGGAGGGAGCGAGTACATTAGAAGGAGAGACAGAAAGAAGGCACTCTATCCGGTGATTTCTGAGCATATCCTAAGAAACTTACGTCCAGTGGGGAAGTAGATATTCGCAAAGTGCAACTACCGAAAGCTGCTACCTTGACGTGGTGGTCGGGCTTGAACACCGCAATGACCCAACAAGCTATACTGGCTGAGACTTATGTCGCTTGAGGTCCTACCATGCTAGGAAGGTTGTTTGGATAGCGATTAGACAAAAACCTGTTACCCAACCCAATCCTATGACTCAAAGTAAATCGCAATATATTATGCCGGATCGGTCGGGGCCCGGATTAACAACAACCGCGCTTCCTTCTGCCGTGTCACAGGGCAGGAGTGATAAATATGCTACTGAGACACACCAAATGAAAAACAACAAACAAAAACAGGCCGTGTGTGACTAGCCTCAAGCAGTTGTCCCCTGGGCTCTGCGGTCACGCAACCAACTTCCACGGTGTGGGCCGCCCTCACAATCCGAAGTGCACGCGAAACCTCTCTAATCCTCACTCATCTTTGTCTCCATCTTCATCTCTATTATCTTGCCCTCCTTCTACTAATGCAACTCCTCTACTGGATGGCTCTTCACTTCCTCTTTACTCTGATTGCACTGAAAACGACGGAAGCCAAAGTGCGACTACTAGACACACTTTGTTGAGATAGGGGTCATTTCGTCAAAATTTCCAAATCCTTAAAAGTATTACACATACAAACGACAGCAAATTTGCCACGATTTTCTGAAGCAGTTGCAATCAAACGTCTCAAACCAAAATTATGCAAATATGCATTTTGATTTGATTGATTAGTCATCCATATTAGTGAGTGGATTTCAGCCCATTGAGCAAGTTTCCAAACATATGATGAACTATAACTTTTTTGAGTTGCTATGGAAACCTACTAGCTAACCACTGTTTATTAGATTTTTCTGATTTCTGTCTTCTGCATCCTGCTTTTCTATTTTGAAGGTATATAAATTGATGGCAACTTGAACTAACAATTGTAATACTTACCCTTCGAATACAACAATTCTATATATGTTTTCTCTACTACTTCTCAAACATCGAAGAATATTACTGTCATTGTGTTCATTTATTCCTTTGCGTTCTCGGTGGAACATACGGCTTCAAGCTTAAGCTTCGGAGTTTCACTAAAAGTGGTGTTTATCCTTTTACGGGGTCGGGGCTGCTAGCCTCACGCGAACCAACCTTCCCTCTTTCTCTGAATTATAACCAGCTAAGGGAAGGGTAAAGGGGTGCACTGGCCGGGAATTGAACCCCGGACCACGTTCACCTACGTACCCCTGTGTTTATTACGAATGTAAATTCAGACAGCGACATGCAGCTGATCAGGGAGAACCTATGAAATAGAATGATGATATCGCCCTTATGCTGCAGATTTGGTCTCTTTCTTTATCAAAACTTATAAAGGAAAGCAAGTGGTGAATAACTGTGCAATATACTATAAATACACATACTTGCATAATAATAATAAGAGACGAAAAAAATTAACTCACCATATTTCGGCGAAAATCACTTCTAGACCTGCTTTTAACGCGTTTCTCTTCAGGTGTACTAAAACTTTTCTTAAAATTACGTATATGCCTGTCAGAGTCTAAATGCATTGAATAGCTATGCTCATCAGAGAAAGCAATAGCACAGTATTTGCAGTATATGCGTAGCTTTGATTTACGATTCTATGTAAATAAAAAACAACACAAAAAGACCAAACAAAAAATGATATCAATGTGTATTCAAATTTGAAATAAATTAAATCCCTAACAAACTACTAACAACTCTTGTTGAAAAAATTCATCTGATGCTCGCTAGTGACTACTACCGGCTACAGCTACAGGATAACTTGATTGCTTGAAGAGCTGCAGTCAAAAGTCGTGACAAGTGGGAGCCCACATCCGGTCGGGAGTGAGGACAAATAGTTGCCAGCGATGACATTGGTTGTTTGGTACTAGTCGCGCTAAAATTACAAACTGATAGAAGTTAGAATTCATCGGTTGGCCATCGGACCAGATTCTCGAGGCTAAATCGTCTACGAGCTAGTCTTGTCGCCAGAAGGTCCTAGTTTCGAAACTCGGTGGGTAAGTGGGACGAAACAGCGACCTCCAGTACTCCTTGGTGGTTCGTAATGCTTCTCTAGCTGATATCAATCCGTGGTCAAACTATTAAAAAGTAGTTGAAAAAAAATCTAAGCTAGATGAACAACACAACGTAATCATACACCCATAGAAACGGTAATTTAGTAGTCGATTTAGTCATCAAAAAAATAAGCATTATGAGGAAAGAATTCATTCCCCAAAATGAAAACGCAATACTCAGTATGGGAAGGGTATTTTAAAAACATAGGTGTATTTGAAAGCATAGTCCAAATCGACCCTCGAACAATAACTGTTATGAACAACAAATAAACCCATCCAATTTTGTATAACGCGGAAGAATAATAGAATTATTTGCCTCAACTGATGGTTGCGGGGGGGGGGGGGGGGGGGGCTAGACACGGATTATTCCGCAATCTTGCTAGGAACTTTATCATAACTACATAATCGGAACAGAAAGAAATTATTTTCATGAGTTAGTGTTTGTAGGGATTTGATCTGAATCAAGACCACGGATTAATATCAACTAGAGAACTATTGAAAACCAAACCAGGGAGCACTGGACAGCTGTCTCGTCCTATTTTTGGACTCATTGGAAGTACGCACCCACCCCACAGGGCAGAAGTTGGAACCCAGGATCTTCCGATTACAAGTTAAGCGCGTACACAATTCAGCTACAAAACCCGACTCGATGACTAGCCCAAGAATCCTTTTCCTCACTCCCGATAGGGTGGATCCCAGTGGTCACGACTTCTTAGCAGAACTTCAATCAACTATCTTCGCCCTGTAACCAGTCACTAACGAGCACCAACAAAATTACATTTCGAAGGTTGGGATGAAGAGAGGTTAAATAAGAAAAGTAACAAGAAAAATACTCGCCAATATTTATAGTACAACCCCTAACAAGGAAATAACTGGTTATCTTGATGTAGGACAAGCATAATTACAGGTTTTCAAAACTACGGAATTTAATAAATACTTTAATAATTACGAAAATGCATATATAAATTGAAAAAGATTATCAAAGCAACCATAGTCTCTGTTAAAATACAGTAAATAATATTCTGAAGAATGAAATAAGCGTATGTATGTTTGAGTGAGATATGGAATGGGATAGAGTGCTGCTATAGTGAAAACTCTATAGAAGATTTAGTGATAATCCCGTTTAGTCTAAAATATGGCGGAAATGAGGAATTGATCAAATGTAGTCTTTCAAGAGTCTTTTCATTACTAACAGTTAGACTTAAAAGTAACCAGTATATATTCCTTTAATTTCTACCTCCTCCCCCACCACACCACGGCCATCACCTCAAGATAGTTGGAGATACATACCTACTAGGTTACACTCACTCAATGACCACCCCCGATTCACTCATTTAAGTATACAGGACAAGGAGAATCGATCATTAAGTTTTAGATTGTTTATTTGCTTACAATAGAGACACACTCTTGCTTTAGGTGTTACCTACAGTCTAACAGTATGGATTGACAGAAAGCTGCCTTGGAATTATTAGATTACACCGTTTGTTGACGGCACTTACCGCCACTATGGAACTAATACTTCTCTAATATATTCGAAACTACACGAATTCAATTTATGTACAAGTATTGGTTTGTGGGGGTACAGCGAGTCGGATGTGGGGACAAATACTGGCCAGCAGTGAAATTGGCTAGTGGTCGCGCTATGTTATCAATTAATTGGCAGAAGTTTGAATTCATGGTTTGGAAATTGGGTCGGGGTCGCAATGGCTGAATTAACGCTCTACGAGATCACCGGCCTTTCAACCAGAAGGTCCTGGGTTCGAACCCTTTTCGTGGGTGCGTACTGATGAAGAGTCCCAAACTAGGTTGACGAAACAGCTGCCCAGTACTCCTTGGCGGTTTTCCAATGGTTCTCTAACTGATGTCAGCTCATAATGAAATCCCGTAAACTAATTTATGTAGTCCGAATGGCCATTGGCTACATACAACTGACTACAGCCACTTTCCTTACTGTGGCCATCGTTACAAGACAGGACTACGTCGCCCCACTCCCCCTATTAAATTATAATTGTCCAAATTATTTTATTTTTATTTTGACCACTTCATCTTTAATTACGTGTTATTCTTGTAAAATTAATTTATTCTATCCATTTCTACCTTTTAAATGTGTATTGATTTTCTGCGTTAATTATCAACCCATTGACATTTTGACACTGTTTAATTATTGTTAACAAACATATCACCACTTGTTTGGTAAATTGTTGTGTATTGTAAAAATGCTATATATATTAGAGTAGAGCCAGAGAAGAGGATCTAATTGAAAAGTAAATATTTCTTCGCTCAATCTTTCTGTTTTTCAAATTCTATTTAATCGACCAAGTAGTATTATGGTAGTGTTTGACTGTGAAGGTGGTGCTCATGTGGTGTTAGCCAACCTACGTTATTTCTTCCGTAGACGTGATATCCAACCACCGATCAAGGGTGAGTGTACTGCGCAGCAGTTCATTTTGTCCTCCTGTGAGATATGGCCATTGATAGTGGTAGATATGAAGATGCTACCTGTTCCCCATCCACAGATGTTTGCGTTCTATCCACAGTGTAAGTGGTATAACAGAGTAACATTGAGGTTAGGCGTATAGTGTTAGGTAAGGAGAGCAAGTCAATCGACGATGTTTTAAAGCTACTACATAAATTGCGACGTGTTACACATGCCCAATCACTGTCTTCCTCTTATCAAGGGACGTAAGCTGGCACAAGAGATTAGGTTGGGCAAGAGTTAGGGGATGATAAAATCAAAAGTTGATTTTAGTCCATGAAGTTGTGGTGAGAGCTGGCTGCTAGCCAAAGTTGGTAGACAGTAATTCACGTCAATGTTTATGTCCCCAATATTGGTGGTGAGAAAATGAGAACAAAGGCTTTGCGTACGCGGATACAGTTAGCATATGGATGATCTGACACAGCCACAATGAGATGCAAGGTTAACTTTCTGTGAGAAACAACCAATCAAAGACTATTTTATAATAACAATAATCTACAATAATGTACATTAAAATCTATAAATATGTGTTGATTTTCCTTAATAAACGATCTGTTGCCTGACCCTTGTATTCTGTTGTTACAAAGTGATGTTAACTGTTGGTTTGAGTCATATGTGAGGCGGTGAAGACTGCCTGATTGATATTCTCAGGACACTAAAACCAATGGTCATGAAACTGTTGGTGACTTAATGGCTCAAAATCCTTCTCAGTGACAGGGATGCATTCACTTTTTAGGAAAGCTAAGAGCTACTAAATCCTCATGCATCAATTGTTCCTCCCGCACATCTCTTGAATCTCTTCTTCTCTATACATAGAATGTACCAACTTGAACTGCCGGACTTTAATGCAAAGTCCTACCGATGAGCATCACTGTGGAAAAGGAAGGAACAACTGTTTGGTGCTTAGACCCGAATGTGATCAAATCATCATCAAACAACATAAAACCATCTTAATTACTGATATTGTACAGCTGCAGAATTTGTCAAACCTATTTTTTCAAGCTATAAATCCTAGAAAGAAGGTTTAATTTCATAGGAAATTTGATCCCCGGCCGACACAATCCTAAACCCCTCTCGCTAATCCACTGGTAAGCCCAGTGATAAAGCAGGAAGGCTGGGCTAAGAGAAGCTAACACCCCTCCCCCATATAACCACTGCTACTGAAACTTCAAGCTCCTAGCTTGAAGCCCTATATTCCCCACCGGACCGGGAGGAATGTAAAGGAATAAAAAATAATAAATAACAAGTAGTATTACTTTGTCAGGCGAAGTTGTAGGCGTTTGATAACGTGATTGATTCAATGATTCACGAGAACCGTACCAGTAACCTGCAGGTTGTGTAGGCGTGTGCATTTGATTCCCACCTGGAGAAGAAAGGGGACAAATTATGTTGGTGATTAACAGATATGACAGATGAAACAAATGACTTGAGAAGACAATTTTATGACCATAGTTGATATTTCACGAATACATCTACTCACAAATTATCAAAACATTTAGCAATAATATTATGTTTTATTAGAAACCGTTCAAACTCTAGGTTAATTCAACCATATGAAATGAAAAAGAAACTAAATGACATTCAGTTACAGAATAATGAAAAAAATGGTTAGTTTTCATATAACTAAACTAGTGTTTATACTAATATACAAGTTTATATGGCCTTAGAAGCAGTTGAAAAAGAACAACTGATAATCACAAGCTTACTAGTGGGACAAAGCTACGCATTTGGGAAAATATTTTAGGAATTCAATTGTGCTGCCTCATGTGTACTATCTTTAAATTCCAGGACAAGATATATAGATAAACAGAAAGCGTAACAGTGGGATGGATCACCAATATCCCCAATCATAGTAGATATCTTCATGGATGACAGCTGGGGAAATATGGCTATCAATACATTTAATCCTACCCCAAAGATACGATGAAGATATGTGGATGACCCTTTCACAGTGTTAAAAACAAAACATATCTCTAGTTTCTTCGCACACACAAACTCAATAGGTAAAGGGAATAGCATTCACAATTTTGAATCAGAAAATGAACAAGGAGAATTAGCTATGTTAGATTATAAAATAAAACGAACACAAGGTAAACTATGCACTGGCGTTTATAGAAAGCCGACACGTTCTGCTAATAGATATTTAGACTTTATTTCATCTCATTCGTTATTTGTGAAGACAGGCTCAGTTAAGTAGCTAACAAATCGAACAATAACAACACTAAGTAGTCCAACAAAAAACGTAAGTGATGAAATGAAACATAGAAGTGTTGGTGTTAAATAACTATCCTATAAAAATTCATTAAGATCACAAAGGCTCACAAGAAAAAAAGAAAAACAATAGTGGAACTAGTGGTGATAGCATAAATAAGACAGAATATAAGGTATCTACAGGTTCTTCCATGTAGGGAGGGGGGCATCTGAAACCCTACAAAGGATTCTCAACGCAGTAGGAATTAAAGTGGCATTTAGACCCATACAAACTCACTCAGGTGGGACAAGCTCTGTAGGTTAAAGGACCCTGCAGATTGACCCAATTAGACAAGATAATGTAATTTACAAAACACCTTGTAACGACTGTGAAGTCAACTACATAGGTCAAACCAGTAGACCAAGGGTAGTCAGAATATCAAAATTAAAACAATTAGTCCCTTTGATAAATTTGAATAAGGCATTAAGAAGACAAATTTCACGAGATGATATCAATTCGTAGTTTCTTTACAACCAACCGTTTTACAACTAATATGGTTAACAATAATAAAATAAAGTTCATGACAATTACTCAGTTAAATAAAAACAAAAGTACATACTAATGACCAAACTGTATCTACAAGTTCACCTCCAGCTGCGGTGACACCTATATAGGTAGAACCAACAGAATGTTCCAATGTCGTCGGAAAGAGCATGTTCCAAAATGGCTACTAAATCATATAGAAAATCCCAATGCCAGTAATCTGAATAGAAATCCAGCATCATCCATTGCAAGACACTTATTAATGTCAGGTCACAAAGTCAATATTAATGACTGTTTTACAATTATTTCACATAACTCTAATTCAGGGTTATTGAAGGTGATGGAAGCGCTTTGGATTAATCACATACAGCCTAAACTGTGTGTACAAAAATCAGTAGACTTCAATCTTCGCCTACCCTGGACTACTTGACCTATCTAAATATGATTGGGCATTAGTATGTACTTTTGTTTTTATTTAACTGAGTAATTGTCATGAACTTTATTTTATTATTGTTAACCATGTTAGTTGTAAAGCAGTTGTAAAGAAACTACGAAATGATATCATCTCGCGAAATTTGTCTTCTTAATGCCTTATTCAAGAATATCAAAACACAAGAATTTAGCTAAATATAGAATGACTGAACCCGTGAAGATCAGCATTAACACACAACCACACAATAGGGTTGGACAGATTTACAACTCTTGAAAGTAATATAAATGGATGAAGAGAGAGGTTGATTACTAAATCTTTGAACAAAGCAAGAACTACAGTTTTAGCAGAATAAAGTGGTACCATCTTTTATTTCGTTGCCTTCTTGTCAGCTGCTTACAGGGCAAGAGGGAATAAATGTATGAAAAATACTAAATCTTTGTTCATCGAATTAACACCCAACAGTTGCAACAGGAGTGACTCATCACCGATACCAGAGATATGGAAAATATTACTACCCTATCAAATCTAGAGATGAGAAATAATGGAGTTATATAAACGAAGTTGGAAAGCTGTGTAACTAGTGTCTTGATATGATTATGAGCAGCAATAAATTGTGCTTTAAAGATCATCAGCGAATAGTACTGTATAAAACACTGTGAGACTTTATCAAATACATGTACTCTATGATGGAATTATACTCTACTATGGTGCCGAAGTTCCATTCTTAGATAGTTAAATGAATAACCTCTCTATATTCAACCAAGTCTCCGTAGTATTGCTAGGAGGAAACAATAAACATTTATCTCAGCTTACACACATACACATACAAACAGATATATGAATTACATAACTCTTCGTTGAACCTACATATTTTCAAGTATTGGTTTGGTAGGGATTTTGTTTAATTGCATGGAGGATTTCATCATGAGCTGACATCAGTTAGAGAACTACTGGAAAACCTGGGAGTACTGGACAGCTGTTTCCTCCTAGTTTGGGACTCTTCAGCAGTACGCGCCCGCCGGCATTCGAACCCAGGACCTTCTGGTTACAAGGCCAGCGAGCTCGTAGACCATTGAGCCACTGGGACCCGATCCAATGGTCCTTGAATTCTAACTTCTGCCAATTCACGACATAGCGCGACCATTGCGCAATGTCTTCTTCCTGTGGTTCTCTAACTGATGTCAGCTCATGATGAAATCCTCCATGCATTTGAACCTACATACCTCCAAAATAATAATACCACTAGAATTCGTATCTACTGATTATTGATTGACAACTGAATGACAGTGTGACAATGCTAATAATCATTCGCTTTTTATTGTAGGGCTTCAAGTTTGAGATTTGAAGTTTCCGTGGCAGCGGTGTTGTTTACATGGGGTGGGGCAGCTAGCTTCACGCCCTATCCCCAACTTTCCCTCGCTACCTAGGACTTACTATCGAGTAAGTGAGACAAAGGAGTGCGTTTCGGTGGTCGTGTGAGGCGTGGTTGGTCAGTGTTCTACCAATGGACCATCTTTCTGACCACTTTGTTCGAGCCCCAGTGGGAACGCCATCACTCACTGGGGAATGCAGGCACATTCAGCTGACACAAGTCCCACACACAGGACCAAATGCAAATGCCCATCCTAAATTCCACTGCTAGTCACCATCCGTCAATTTACTTCAAGGTAATAATCAGACATCGTCGAAGCATTTGCACAAGGAGCCAACATGTCAACCTGAGGCCTAGCACTTCGGTTTAATCAATCGACATGAAAGCCAAATTGAATTAGACGTGAAATATTGTTAACTCGTGCTCAATCTATACATCATTTTTCTGGTTCCAAGACAACCTAAAATAGGATTTCGCAATTTTAGACCATATAGCGCTGAGTAACCCAACAACAACAATAATACATTCCTTTTCAGTCAGAACTAACCTACATTCCAGTAGGGAAAAGTGAACAATTGTCATTGTATATGATACTTTGATCGAAAATAGCTATCCCGAAAAATTTATCATGAAACACATGACAAAGGAAACGGCGGAAAAGGACTACTCACTATCTGTAAACAAGAAGCCACTTTATATACGACTACAATTCAAGGGCGATATGCCAAGATAGATAATTACGAGGAAATTAAGAAAATCAGTTCAAAGAACTTTTAATGCCAGCGAACTACACGTATTATTCTCTACACGACCGATGGTGCTACCTCGACTGAAAGATGAAGTACCTAGACTAGCTGGTCACTTCAAATTGTATCTACCAATTCAACTGCGCTTGTGGGGTGAGTTATATTGGCCGTTGCTCTAGGAACTTGACTCTTCGTGTTCGAGAACATCTACCACCATGATTAAGTAAAGGTGTAGTTAAAACCATTAACAGCTCGAAATTGGACCATCTGGTGCAAACCGGCCACAAAGCCAGCCAGCGTGGAAGAATCCTTCTCTCTAATCTACCGCGTCCCTAATAAATTGCAAAATCATCGAAGCACCACATGGTCCAAACAGCGGAGCCTCAAAAAACTAGTGCTCTGTGTTCAAAAGAAGCAAGTCCAGCCCCCACTACTGCCCTGGCCTTCAGCAGAGACTATAAATTCATATATTTGTAATATTATCTTTCCTTATTTTTCTGACATTCAGTTTATTGTTAAGTTGATGCTATTGAACTGTAATCTATTGATATTATTATTATTGTTGATTCGATGTTATTTAAACAACATAACACTAATTCATTAATTCATTATAATGGATATATAACTGTAGAGCCTGATGATGAAGTTATCGAAAAGGGTACTCTTTGTTCAGTATCCATTCTTTTGAAAAATTGTCAAGAAAAGTTCAAGTATTATGTAATAAAAATGAACTCCATAACCACATACAAGAAATACAGTGTATTGCTTATCTTTTCGAAACAGTAATGATACTCGGTTGTTTAAAATCTAATATAGAACAAGGATTCCAGTGTGTTATAACCAATAGTTGAAAATCAGGTGCCTACATCAAGAAGTGGTGACTGGTTGATTTATTGTCCTTCTAGACAACATCTTCAGAGCAGGCCTTAATACGCAGTGAACTTGTTTGGATTCTCGCTGAGTGAATGATGACAGTTGTTTGTCCTAACCACTGTCGTGATTGGTTGTTAATTTACATCTATATTAATCATTTTTATTGACTTGGTATTTGAAATTTCTTGTCATATGATTGACGCTTTATTAGTTGGTGAATTTGATCTATAGTAATTTGTTTGCAATCTAGCCGTTATTTCAGAGATATTTTTTATATATATATTGTAGAATGAATTTTCTTTGGTGCGAGCATTATTCAAGAGAATCCAAACATATACTGTAGCACTCCATTGTTGAAGAGAATAGAAGAGAAATAACCACTAACTGCCTTCTTCGGGAGAAGAATGAATATTCCATACAATTTGTCTCTCCCGAAATACTAACAAAAACCAGCCGTAAAGACCACAAGAAAATTCATTCTACCACATATATATCTAAAGAATACCTTTGAAATAACGGCTAGAATACTAAAACCATTCGATGAAATAGATATATTTTCTTTAGTTGGTTTGCAAGGATTTATTTTGTCATCACGAGTTGATCACGGATTGATATCAGTTAGAGAAACATTGAGAACCAGCCAGGGAGTACTGGACAGTCGCCGATGATTTCCAAACTGTCTGTCTGTCTGTTTTCAACATGGAACTTTGCACCGAGATGCAGCAGTTCAAGTCGCCACACACCATGTAGAACACAACGCAAGAGAAGAAATTTGAAGAAATGCATAACAGAGACAGTAGACAGGGATATGAGACAAAAGGAATAGTAATAACGAAGAACAATATAGCTTCATTGGAAAATATAAGTCACAAGGAGTGGGTGCATCTGCGCCATTGACAGCGATTTTGAGCCATGTCACCAGTTGTCTCCAACCATTGGTTTTTACCGTCCCGAGGACCTCAACCAGTCAGGAAGTCTACACCTTCCTACGTGGCTTAAACTAACTGTTGTAGATTTCATTGACTGATGATGCCACGTTTTCGTTTGACCGCCGCTAGCTCTTTTTCAACTTGATCCATTCTATGTCAGCTAACATTGCCCATCGAGGAAGGCGATGACTAGGCATACGTAACACACATCCTAACCATCTCAGTCGATGTAGCTTCACAGCCTCGTCGATTGATTCCCAAACTAGGATGGAACAGCTAGCTGTCCAGCACTCCCAACTGGTTTTCTATGATTCTCTAACTGATAACAATCCGTGATCAACTCGTAGAAATAGTTATAGCACACCCCAGCCAACACAATCAATTCATTCAATTATATGCAGCCTACAGGATCCATCCAACAGCACAAAGAGGATAAGGTCAGTATCACGTACAAAATAAATTATATAAACTGCGACAAGCACTACATAGGTCTTGGTGGATGTCCCCTACGAATCCGAATCCAAGAGAATAAATTGGCTGTGAAAAGACACCATATATATTCTTTCGTATAGATGCACGCAAATGATTACGGACGCTAATTTGATTGGGAGAATGTAGGAATTTCAAATACGGAAAAAAATACCAAAAATACTTCCAAGGAATTTTTAGAAGTCTGGTTGGTATTCAGATGAATCAGTGATTAATAAAGTGAATCATAAAACAACCAAGTTCAATAAGTGATCAATGTAAATTGACAACCAATCACAACAATGGTTGGCAGGAGATACAACTACATCATTCATGGAGGAATTCAAACAAGCTCACTTTATATTAAAGCTTTCGATGAAGATACTGCCTAGAAGAACAATGAAAGCTTCCAAATTAAGATAATCAGCTCAGAGAACACAATCAAAGTTAAATCCATACCGGTGTACAGTATGTACTCAGTAACTGCTGCTGTAGTAGACCAGTTGCATGAAACCATCACTAAGTCAAGAAATTCGCTTTAGCATAACATATAAATACTGGATAAACTATAATTACGTCCTTTAACATAACCGTAGGGTACAAGTATTCCACTGATGTATAGCTATCGGAGTCGTTAATGTTAAAGACGTTAGGCGTAGTATGTTTGGTAAGGAGGGAAAGTCACTCGATGAATCTGAAATGATAGAGATGGCTAGGATATGTGCCACGCACATCAAGCCATCACTCTCCAAATCAAATAACTTTTGCTACCACACAATAGCCTAGAAGCCAAGACAAATGTGACATCACCTGATCGTATTAGTTGGAATGAGAAACATAGAGTTTGAACCTAGGATGAAGTCTTTATTAATGAAAAGCTCAGACATACGACTTATGAATTTGATTTGGGAAAAGCGGTTAATAATTTAAGAGCAATCTATTCTATCTATGTCTATATAATCTTTATCCATCGTTCATAAAGACCAAGGACTCTATATGAAAATTTTTAAAAAACTTACTCCAGTGAGCATTTGACGCAGATTGGATAGGTGTAGGAGTTCCAGGATAACCACCACCACTGCCACCACTATACTGACCAGTAAACTCATTTACAGATGATTCATAATCTTGTACCTGTGAAAATCAACAGCAAAAAAAGTTTTTTATTGTGAACTGCTGACTTCAATAACTTACTGAAAATTATGCTTATCTAAAATAAACAGTAAAGTAATAAAAATTTCGACTCAGATACAAGACAGCCATTTCAGTATCACACTTCCAGAATGAATGATAATACGAAATTTGATATACTCACAACCTGGAGTACACTTACTTCTGCTCCAGTTTTGTTCACTCACTTGGGACAAAAAAAATTCCATAAACTATTGATGACAGTGAATCCTCAAAAGAATTTTCGGAAATCGAACCATGTAGAACATGTAAAACATACTTATGGATAGGCTAGAGGTTATATACTACTGCTGTAAGAAGGAGACAGGCTTTTTCAATACCAGCAGTAACTAGAAGTTGTAAATGAAAACGTTGTAAAGCTGCCAACTGAAAACACAAGCTGCTTCACCCTTTCTCTATTATTGCAGGTAGCTGTCATACCGGTGTATTCTGTAATCGTTTTGCAATGAAATTTGCAAACGCTGACAACTACCTTATATGTTATAACGATTTTGGAAAACAAGTCACTAGACTTGAAAAAAATGTATACAAGGTCACAGGCTGTAAGAATTGTATCTTTCACCTTCCTCTTGTAACACAGTGGGTGAAGAATTAGTGCCCACTGGTCAAAGGCCATCAGTCGAATGATAATACCTTCTGGTGACATATGTTCACTGTCTAGTTGACTGAACTTTGTGCTTGTGGAAATATCCCTGGTACTTATTACTTCCCGGCTGATCACACCATAAAAACCGACTTTTTTCTTGAAATGGCTAAAACAAAAAGACCACCACTGAGTGACCACAGAGGCAAGGGAATAACTGTTTGAGGCTTGTCACAGGTGGCTTGTTTGAAGTGCTTTTTGATGTGTCCGTGTAACCCACCTCTCCAGAGTGAAGAGCTAGCATACTCCGAAGGAAACGCTATAACGCTGTTATATTCATAGTCACCAGCAGTACAACTTAATCCTCACATCCCAACATCATGATGTGAGAATTGAACTACGATGGTGATAACTTTAATTCTAACTGCCATTCGAATGGCATTTCTAGCATAGTACAAGCCGTGGGAATATTCGTTTCGGTCAGTATAGCTCCTTGGGTCATTGTGATATGCAAGCCTAATCACCCCGTCAAGGTACCAGGTATCGGTTGGGGTTCACTCTTTACTCCACTGTTAAGGTGTACACTTATTTTACTTAATCCCTTTTCCCCCTTTTCAATCTACTCAACTCATGTATGGTGTGAGAGTAATATCTTAAGTATATATAACATGCTTGTTCTTTATCCAGATAAACTCTCAGCTGGGACACTATATTGCCCCACTGACATACTGAATGTTCTGTTCATCCATGCAGAAGGAATTAAACGCCCTGGAATATTAACAAGTGTAACATGAGCATTTAACAACTTGAGGTTGTAAAAAAATTCTTCAGTGAAAAAACAGAATTATGACCGACCCTACTGTTGGAAAAAAAACATAATTCAAACCAAATACGTTGGTTTCAATCAGTAACCACTTGTGTTTACATACGGTTGACAATGGGCCACACCTATTACGACAGCTGATTATACTACCTTGGGTAAAGAATTGTCTCAACCTGTGACTCGCCAGGAGAAATTTAAATGCATAAACCAATCAGCAACGGCTTCACAGATGATTTGTTGAGATATGAAGAGATTGGGGCTAAACATTTGACACACACACACACACAAACACACAAACACTACTTGCATTTAAAGGTGGACAAAATGCCTTCACTTCTGCAAATGTAGTCACGATACTGAAGTTCTACTTTGTTTGCAACTAACATATGTGCAAATAGGAAAGATCTGACATAACAAACTGGTACTGGAAGAAAATAACACTTCTAAAAAGTCAGGACTACAACAACAGTAACATAGACATACCTTACAGTTGTATACTCATTAGAGAATGTCAAAATGAACCCACCTGAGGTCCCATATACTCATTGAAGGAAGGTTGTTGCTTGGTAGAATCATAACTGTAGGTGAATTGAGGTTCTTGGGGATTTGAATGCATTTGATTCCCACCTGCAATCAAGTTCAGAAATTATAAACACGTTTAAACTCTCGAATATGATACTAAAGTTTTTAACACCTAAAGAATCACTATAACTTTGGCGCAACAAAAACAAACATGCAATCGATTTTAATATCATACAAAATGCAGATTACTTGAAGGAAACATTACTCAACAACCCCTTGCACTTTCATATAGTTGGTAATAACTTAAATGTATTGTGTGAGGGCCAATGATACTAGCCGGTTTTCCAAATTTAAATGTGAGGTGCGATTTGAACCCGCGACAGAAAAACATACCGAGATAAATTGACTGATACCAAAAAATACAGCATACACAGTTCGGTAACTACTGTTAATGATTCCAACTTCTACACCAAAACCTAGAATATAACATGAAGATGTGGTTCTTTGACTTAAGCGCTCTACTTCAGGCAAAGGAATCCGGGTTCGAACCCCATTTTTGACTACTTCAGCCTCAACAACTAGAAAGTATTCTCAACCGTCATATAACATGTAACTCATCTTCATGGTACATGAGGATACGTTCCGGGTGAATGTTTTAACTATCAAAGAACACACTACTTCGATAGACTAAGATGTGAGTTATCTTAACACCAATTTATGGCTCTACACTTTTTAATTCAGTGACAAAATTCCTCCCAAATTGTGGAAATGGAACTGAATTCTCTACATTGAGAACCAACACACACATAATGTGAAACACCCTATGTGATTGAGTAGATTTTCCAAGCTGTACACATACTTTTCTCATGATATGCTAGTGTTCTCTATTATCATATATAGAAGATACGAAGTTACATTAAGAATAAACTACACATACTCCATGTATAACTGGATTGCATCGGAAGAAAATATCCATACTGTCCAGTATAATTGTTCATTTTAGAACGGTCAAGCTAAAAGTAAAAGCACACATGTGAGCATATTTTAAAGAATATTCGTGAAAAGATTAGGTTATGGAAAAAAACTTTAAAATCAGTAGATTAACTAAGCTGTCATATCAGACTACCATAAAAGTTGCAAACCTGGTTAGATGTACAGGGAATCCGAGACACCTGAACTTCATATAAAAACACGTTGACAAGTGAGGTGTTCTTCGAAAAACTTATTTCAGCTGCAACACTTTCAAGTACTTACTTAACTGATAGCAGAAAACAAGACATATCCTAACCATACAACAGAATACTAGAAGGAATTTTCTCATTATACACAAGTAAACAGAAGCTAACTGACTACCTAACATACTAACATAGAAATTCTCACATGAATCCATAAGTTCCAGTTAACAAATTTTGACGCATAAAGAAAAGTAGAAATCTACAATGGGAGATGAGATAGGATGACCAAGAGACAATGGCAAACACGTCTGCACTGTTGTAAACGATTTTTCACAACCTCATCTAAGTTACTGATCCTTCAGACGTTGAGCAACTCAGTCAATAGTCTGTGACTGGTCGTGTATTTGGGTAAGGCTAATTTTCTCTTCCGATCTACTCCTACTGTAGTCAACACTTCCTGTCTCTCGAATACTTTCTTGCACACTATCTACTTGATAAACGGCTAAACATTTTGCTACTCCTAGTGCATGAAATAACAAATGGCTCAGTAAATCTAGGGTTACGCAAATTATCATTTTTTTTCACATGATTATGTGCAGATCACCTTTTGATATATTTATTATGGCAACTTGAGTTTCACGTAACCCAAATTCACATCAGTTTGTCATTTTTTAAGTGGGTACGAAAGACAGCATACTTGTACCAAGCCCATGGGTTTATAAGAGTACCGTGAATCCCTATGAGAATGACTGCCGAGTCAGCCTCCCCTCCCCCACACACCTAACTGGTCTGTGAACTCAGTCATTCCAGCAGTTAAAAACAATGCCACTAAATCGATCCTTAGCCGGTAAGCTTACTACGTATGTCGTGTTTTGGAAAATAAGACTGCTCAAAAGTGACCACGCTAGAGGGATGAAACAGACATTAGGTACACTGATACGGTGCGATGAATCAATTAAATCATTCGCTTATAACCGTCACACCTGCAGCTTCCTAGAGCTTGCCTGTCAATAGAGACGTAGGTCTCATAGAGGAATCTACTACCTAGTCCTGCTGCGAAAACTTGAAAGATAAGGCCTGCAGGTGTGAAGCACACCGAAGAAATTGAAGTCACATGGTATAACAGAGGTGGGATATTCATCCACCTATTTCTCTTTATAAACGAACAAAGCAAGCGGGACATAATGACGATTCATTTTGTTGATTTGGAATGCGACTCCACCTTGGAATAGAACTCACGGTAATAAATTAACCCCACTTCACAAAGTTAATCAATAATGAGATAGTAATCCGATTACAAAACAATGGTGTCAGTGATACAGAAAAATGAAACTATAATATGGAGGGGGAACCTAAAACTGCAGTACAGGAGTGATACTGATACCCAGAAAAGACGCCCGAGAACTTGATGAAAAAAGTCACTGACTTTCCAGTATTCTCCCCAAAGCATACAGATACCTTAGTAACAGCCACAAAAGCAGTTCCTATATGCTTTATTCCTGAATCAAGCCGGCGAAACGCTTCGCCAGTCAACTAATGCAAATAATAACTACTACTAGCCCAAAACTAGCCTCCGTTTAAAACCCAGAATAGAAAAATGCGATTATAATGCACAGAAACTTACGGTTCAAAATTACAAACAAACAGACCAAGCAAGTATGGAAACGAAACTGAACCTAGATGTCCCTCCGGATTCAATATTCAATGCGGTAACTGAGGTGTACAGTGGCTTCGAGGTAAAATGTTCTTTCAGGCAGCATCAATATGTGATTTTCTCGGTATTCAGCCTCATATTTCAGATGTATACTAGAAACCTCCATAAACTCTTCACATTAGAAAACACATCTGTTACCTGAGAATTTGTGATGATCCATATTCAGATTTATTGATTGAGGATAGAAGGCTTGAAGCCTATGCTAATCCTTATATACTTCTGTGCCTATCCATACCTTTCTTGAATGAGTGAACTTAGGGTGCCGCTACCACTTCTTCTGGGAATCACTTCCAGGAGTTTCTGGCTGTGTTCCATAACTCAACAGTTATATAGTTTCTTCTGGATTATTGGACTCTCTTGTTATATCCTCAGAGATGTTCCCCTAATTGCAAGAACTGGTCCATCCGCTGCAGAGATTTAAGACACCTGCATGGAGGACCGCAGGGGATTCGCTGAGCACAGACAACTCATTGATACACAAGATGAAAAAGAAGGGTTGGAGCACGGCGTCTTGAGGTACTGCACTGTGCACTGTTGTCCTGGGGGAGAGTTTTAAGCTGATCCTGACTCTCTCTACCCTACCTGCGAAGAATTCTCTAACCCAGCCCAGTGAGTCCCCCTAGATTCCAAGACTTCAGTTTCATGAGTGTTCCTCAGTCAGGTACTTTGTTGGAGGCTTTGAGAAGTCTATGAAAATAACATCGACGAGCCTTTTGTAGTCCCTTGAATTGACCCAGCTTTTTCTTAACTTAAGAAAGTTTGTCAGGATTTAGAAGTCTCCCCACGGGACATGCGCTCTGGATAACATGATGTCGCTTTCCAGATATGCCATGATAGCTTTCCTGATGATTCTTCGCAGTTTCTTGATTGGAGTGTTGTTGAGACTGATAGGCATGTGGTTTGATTCTCCTTCGTTTGTGGCGTTTTTCAAATTGCGTGGTAGCATCCCACTCAGGAGAAGTAGCTTGAAGATAGTAATCAGAGAAACCGTTATGTAAGCCTTGGATGAAGCTCACTAGGTCCCGCTGACGTTCCTGGATCTAATTTCTTTGTAGAATGCAGTGCTTTTCCGGTTAATGTAGACGGAAACTATCCTGTATCCCTCTGATGCGGCCGGAACTGATGCTACGGGGAGCAATGACTCATGTGTGAAGACTTCGAAGAAGTAGCCTGCCATTTCTCCTCCCTTTCTTTGGTCCTCTTCGATTGTACCGTCATCAGTTGTCGGGTTCGGGACCCAGTTGGATGTCATATTCCTGATTTAGAGGCTGACGTTATTGACGTTCGCGAATTGTATGGAGTACACACCCACAAGATCTTATACCAACAACTTCCATAGCATTCGTTCCTCGTGTACCAAAGACAAAGCAAAAGGCGAGATTGATCGTCCAAAGTACGAGATATATTTCGGGGCCAAATCGCGGGCTGAAGTGAGTGCTTAGCTGGCTAGTGATCGTGCGCGCACGTAACACGATGTAGTACCAAATGGCATGGATGCTTGACCGGGAGCCTTTAGCTAAACAAGTGGACTTAAACAGTGAGGGTTAGCATTCGATGTTCAGTGATGATTGCTGTGGTCAATAATTTCGGGGAATTATTTGCCGCTACACTGAGATTCTCGTGCGAAGGAATTTCCCTAGGTTGTGCCACTGCATTTTGGGTTGATGAATTTCGAATTTTTACCTTAACTGACGAGTCCCCGCAATAGATTCGTTTCTGGAGATGACACACAACTTCCAGGAGTCTTAAATGTGATAAACAGGTTCCAGGATTTATGCCTACACCTCAGTAATCTACGAATCTCCTGATTTATCTGCGGCGGACAATGTTTTCGTCCTTTTGGGATAGATAAATGGATGAGAGTTTGGGTTAACTCACCAGTCGTAGATTCGTGTTATATCGCTCTTTGTGTCGTTATTGCTTTGTTTAGATTCATTGTAGGAAATTCGTGTATTAACTGCCTACCACACCTCAACTCATGTGACCAAACATTCGTTTCTTCATCATTGTTATTTATTAATCCAAGGAAGTTGAAAGTGCCGTCAGTCACACATAAGGATAAAAACTGAGTCCAATCGCAGGGAAAGATCTTAGCATAGAACAAGCTTATTTGATAAAAATGCATGGTAATACAGCACTATTTAGTAATGATGATGACTTGAAAATAATTTACTGCTCGTGATCAAATCCACCCATTCACGTAACTGTAAGAATTCATTTTTACCATTCCATTATTATTTATTATTTCATTTCGGTTGTAATATTTTCACTGTCTCTGGCGCGAGCACTGCGACATTCCTATTTCACATCTTGGCTATGGATCCGGTGAAAAGACATTCAGTGACTGATATCTCCTTCCATCTGCCCCTGTTACTTTTCAAAACTGTGGCTATCTCCGAATTTATTGCGTGATTGTGTCGTATTGAACGCACTACGACCTATCAGGTTTTCTCTAAATTGTTCATTTTTATGGAACCAATGACCATAAACATAACCAAGTTCTTATGTTCCCATAATATGATTACCTCCGACATACTGTCCAAAGTTGTGCGACCGACCTCACGATGGCTACAGGATACCGGTGGACTAAATTATTTCACCTAGTTGGCTTGGTAGGATCCCTTGGCCTACAGAGCTTGTCTCGAAGTGAGTTTATAGATTCAAATACCATCCTGATTCCTGATTCCTTAAGAATGTCACGTGGAGTTTCAGGTACTCCTTCCACACACCGCAAATTGTTGATGCATTAAGTTACATCTCATTTAAGTCGCGGTTAGTATTTTTACCACTATTTTCCCTTTTGTTGTGAGTTTTTCTAATCTCCAAAGGATATTTATCACACATGCATCCTTTGTATTTTTCATCTCACTATTTAGGTTATGTGACTCACTATCCAGCAAGTTCACTCTGGTTTCTAGTCATTGTCTTTACAGATAACAGGTGAGATCACATAGTCTAAATATGTGCTAGAGTATCTTGGCTTTCACAAAAACTGATGATTTGGCTTCTCGTGCTGGTTTTCCTTACAGTCTAACGCAGTTAATTCCTTATTTGATCATTTAAAATTGTT